TACTACTCAACCACAAAAAACAATGGTGAACTAGCATTTCTTGTATTATACTGGGTGGAGCTGGAGCCCATCCTTCAAAGTGAAGTATCACAAGAATGGAAAAACAAGCACCACATGTAGTCACCATCAAATTGGTACCAACTGACCAACACTAAGGTGCTCACACGGTAGTAATATTCATCAGGTGCTGGATGGGTGGGAGGGGGGGTGGTGGGGATGGGTAAACTCACAACTAATGGGTGTGAAGCGCACTGCATGGGGGAAGGGCACGCTTGTAGCTCTGGCTTGGGTGAGACAAAGGCATTATATGTAACCAAAATGTTTATACCACCATAATATTCTGAAATTAAAAAAAAAAAAAAAAGCAACCGTGACAGGAATGTGAGCCATGGGCAGTTCTTCAACCTGAGCCTCAGTTGCCTCATTTCTCAAGCAGGGACAATAGGTTTGCATGAAGATAACAGAGAAGTATCACTATTATATGACTTAGGGTCATGAATGTTAACTTGCTAACCTTCTCAAGAAGAGATGAGTTTTGTCATGTGAGGCCAAATCCACATGCTTGGTATTGTTACCTGATCTACGCAGCTGTTCACAGCCTTAAACATGTTGTCTTTTTTTTTTTTTTAATGGGAGCAGTTATACTATTTGTTGTCTGCTTCAGCTTAAACTTTAACTGATATAAATTGGAAAAATGGGCAGGGGTGAGTTGATGAACATTGATCATAGAAGAGAAAAGGCAAGCTTTTTTTTCTTTTTTTTTTGCCTATTTGCATTCATTCTTTCAAAAGGCATTTAGAGAGAAAAACGTTTTCCATCTTCCCATAGTACACAGCAAGTCAGGTGCCTGAAGCCCTCATCATACTTTACTAAAACTCTCTTGTCCAAAAGACCATCAGCTGTGAGTAGGTGAACAGAAACCTGGTGTATAACACGCTAAGTACACAGAGATGTACGGGGGGCATCTTACAATGCGCGATACTCATCCAGCTCTGTTCAGTGTGTTATTAAGGACCCTGGTTCCTAAAGAAAATCAGAGCATTTTCAAAGCTTGGGTCTGAATCCTTTCTCCTACTCAGTGATGTTGTGACCCAGGAAATCATGTCACCTCCCAGAATCCCAGACCTGTGAAACGGGGCATATAGTAAGATCCACTTCAGAGGACTGTTGGGAGGATTACGTGAGACAAGCAGATTGAAGCATTCAGTCCCAGTGCCTGATAAATAATAAATCATTATTAGGGCTAGGAGAGGAACAACTTCAGCAGTGAAAGCTAGCACTGGTCTATTCTGATGATGACATCAGATATTTAATTTCACGACGAATCTTTATTGACACTTGAAAAACAGGAAGAGCATGAACAAGAGGACTGAGTGTAATCTATAAAGGTTCTTGAGCCTGAAGAGGCATTGGAGTCCAGTGCCTGACTTGTGTCACAGGCCTCGGCAAGGCAGGCTCAGATGACACTGGGTCCTGCCTGCCTGGCCACGCCGCAGACAGGCCAGCAGGGCATAAAGGTGCTGAGGAGATGGCCATTCCTGGGCTGCAGAAATGGCATGAACGGGCTCATGGGCGAAACAACACAGTCCACGGGGCTGCAGGAGGTGAAAGTCAAACTGTCTTTATTCTTTTGCCATTTTATTTGGGATTGGTAGCAGCATTGCCTGGGAAGACCCTTGGGAGGGAGGAGAGGGAATCTGTCGATGGAAATCTCACCTTTGAGCATCAGTTATATTACTATTTAATGCCTAATTTCAGCCCTTTTCATATTAGACTTTTCAATGGCAAGTCAACGAGTAGAAGGAAGATGGGCTCAGAGGAAAGGTTCTTTGTAAGAGTTTAGCAAAGTGACCAAATATTTATTCTTGCATTTTATCATGCATGTCCCTTGGAGTTATGTTTTTGGAACCTGACTCAACAAACTTTCCAGGTAGCATATAGCTGGGTCCCATCTTTCTAGCATCTCTGCCTTTGGCTGATGTGACGCCATACTTTCCTGACAGTAAACATCAGTTCTTGGTATCGGTGTGGGTCTGATACCAAGTATGGTACAGTCGTATCTCAGCTATCCAAGGGGGCCTCCGAGATAGCCAGATTCAGGTGTTCTGCCCTTCCCAACAGACACCTCTGCACTCCAACTGACTGCACCAAAATGCAGTAAAAGCACTTTCTGAGCTGACCACTCCCTTGGGGCTGGCCCGGCACACATCAAGAGTGCCAGCTGGAGATGGGCTCAGGGTACGGCCCACTTCACTGAGCCATGTATGTGCTCAGGCTTGATCAACACTGGCAAAATTTGCAAGGATATTTCTAGATATTTCACGTGACTGACTCCTTTGAGGGAGGAAATGATACATTAAAAAATACATATATATACACACATGTATATTTAATTATTTTTTCAAAACCATGACTGAAAAAATTCTTTGCCACTGAGTAGAATTAAATTTGACAAAAAAAACCCTATGAATTTTTATTAGTACCATTATTGTTTTCTTTGGCTCCATGTATTATATCGGTAAAATGACAAAAAAAAAAAAAGGAAAATAATGGTAAAAGGCAAATATTTTGTACAAAAATACAAAGTTTTAAAAGCTCTTTAAGTATATTTCATATTATTACTAAAAGTTGGTCTATATATCTGTATGTCTGCATATTTTTCCTACATTTGGGATTTTAGAAATGTAAGGTACTGTTTACACAGCATATGCTTAAGTTCTTCCTATAGCTCAACAACCACTCATGGTCTTCTTCTGATTGGAGCATTCCATACTCTGGAAGATATAATTTGTATAACTGCATGGTTACTGGCTGAGAAAAATCTATGTGATTCAGTCCACGTGCACACTAAAAGTCAGCATATCACACTGGGGGAACATTTTAGTTCCCAAGTCCTTGGGTAATGGCAGATGGTAAGAAACACTAGCTGTCAATTTTTTTCAGTAATTGGTTTTCAGTGCTTTTTCCCCAATCTGGTGAGAAGGTGATGCAATCAGAAAGAAGCATCCATTGCCTTTGCGAGCTGTCTGAACATGTGTTCATGATATTACATCACAGTCCATTATAATGAGGATGATAGTACTAAAAGAGAGAAATAAGGAAGGGCATTAGTTTTTCTTAAAGAAAAAAGCGAATGTACAATTCAAAAAAAGGACACATGTATTTTTATAGGGAAGATTCTAAAATATATCATTCAACAATGCTTATTTTTTCAAAGCAATGTCTAAAAGTTCTTATTCAGATTAAGTAAAAGCTAAGTTTCATTTTGAAGGAGCTTAATCTGGGGAAGTCTAGTCCCTACTCAAATCCAGAATGGCCAACAAAGGCAAACAAATGACAAATCTGGGTTACTTGTCACCATCTATTATAATCTCTTGTTTAGGTATCCGTGTTTCTCCCCCTCAACCGACCCAGCTGTGAGTTCCTTATATGTCTTGAGATTCCTATCTCCAGCACTTGGACCGATGCCTGACATGTCAAAGGCACTCAATATTTGTTTCTGGAATGGATTTAGGGATAATTTGTGCCCTAGTCATTTGAGGTTTTTGTTTACCACCAACCTTTTTTTTTGTTTAAATGGCTTTACTGAAATATAATTCACAAATCATATAATTCATCCATTTAAACTATATAATTTTTTAGTGTGTTCACTAAGTTGTATAATTTAGAACCATCTAATTTCAAAACATTTTCATCACCTCAGAAAGAAAGCCCACACCTATTAGAATTCACTTCCCATTTCCTCCACCTCTCCTACCGCAAACTTTTAAATCTAGTTCTGATGAAGGAAACTAAGATGCCCCATTCCACTGAGGGTCACATATTACATGAAGGTTTAGGTAAGTATCTTTTGAAGGCAGGAAAATCTCCAAAGGCTGCTTTGGCTTATGGGCTTATAAGAAGCAGAGGCTGTATCCCTCCAGTACCTAGCACAGAATCTGGCTTATAGTAGATGCTCAATAAATACATGTGGAATCAAATGCATGGCTGCCTAAATTGGCTGTGTACGGATGTCTGTGAGAAACACAGCACTGGTGCATATTTTAAAGAACAATTGGCTGACAATTTTATAAGATACTGACCCAGGCCAGAGTACTTCCTATATGTTAGGCACATTTATTAACTTATTTAAGTCCTCACAACAACCCCATGAAGCAAATACTATTATTAGTCCCCCGAGGTTAATAACTTGCCCAGCTAGTAAGTGGCAGAACCAGGAACTGCAGAGCCTGCACCCAGAGCCCTCAACTCACCGCCTCTCACCCTTTAATGGGACAAAAGCTCTGCAGCTCCCTCTTAAATCCCACCTACTGCTCACCTGTCTCCCTGTCTTTTTCGCAAATGAAGTTATTCACATCTTCACATTGGAAATCGTTCCACTGCCCGGCGTAAATCAACCCAGCGCAGTCTTCTCCTGGCCCGTGGCCGTGACCCCAGTTATCTGGCTGTCCAGCTTTCCAATTTCTTTTAACAAAACAGAAATTGAGTATTATTGGCACAGTAATGCAGAGGTTTTCTTTACTCAAGAGCAGCAGAGAAATGTAAAAAACAAAACTGAACCATGTTATTTGGCCTGGAATGAAAGTGCATTGTTTAAAAAGCAGCGTGTACCCTTATTCAGAATAAAGAGCAGCTGTCTTGCAGAGTGATGCGTAATGAAGCATCTCCCTGCAGGCTTGTTATCTCTGCACAACGAAACCAACTCATTGAGCTGCTTCATCACAATGCAGAGGGAGCAAATCCTCCTTTGACACTGTTAGATGAATGATCATCTAATGTCTACTGGAATGCTGACTTCTGGGCGTGTGTATATATGTGCATGAGTTTCTATGCCTTGTAAGGACATGATACACACACACACACACACATACACACACACACACACACACACACACACACACACTTATACACACACTGTGAGAACCAAGGGGGATCTTTGTACATTTCCATATATTGCCTCTAACAAGTCCGAGTCAGGAAGAGAAAGTAAGCAACCCTTTATACATTTTTAAGAACCTACAATTACAAACAACTGGTTATGACTGTCTGGCTAAAATGTAGAGGGTTGATTGCTCTACAGAGAAACAGTAATTTAATCTTACTGAAAATGACTCATACATTTCACTGCCTTTTTTGGGAGAGAGATTCTTAAAAACAAGTTTTCTTTAGGATGAGTTCACTGGGGCTTGTTAACTTGGATGCGGCTCCTCCAAACAGTACTTTGCCACGGGTAACCGTTCTTGATTCTGTTTCCATGCAGTGAATTAGATGTGCGTCCAGACTCAGTTCTTGAAGGCTAAATCTTGTCTAGGAAGCAGGTTCATGCACAGAAGCTTGTGGTTACTGCCTGAGAGGATAAGCCTGCCTCGCGCAGGGTCTGAAAGAACATCTGCGGCAGGAGGTGCTTCCCATAAACAATGACTCATTACCCCATCTGCCACAGGGTAGCCTCGGGTCACCCGAGGAGAGCGCCCATATTGCCCTACACCTTTTGACAATGAGACCAGCAAAACCAGAGGGCTGTGGGAAAGGACAGTTGAAGTTTATAGTCAAAGGGTCAGGGAAGCAAGGTAGCATGGACTCCCCCACACCAAATGTGTATTTGGGGATTTTTAATAAAATGAATATGAAGGCATGGTGGCTCACGCCTGTAACCCCAGCACTTTTGGAGGCCAAGTCAGGAGGATCACTTGAGGCCAGGAGTTCAAGACCAGCCTGGGCAACATAGCCAGATAGTCTCTCTACAAAAAATAAAAAAATTAGTCAAGCATGGTGGTGAATGTCTATAGTCCTAGTTATTTGGGAGGCTGAGGTGGGGCGCTGGCCTAAGCCCAGGAGTTGGAGGTTACAGTGAGCTATGATTGCACTACTGCACTCCAGCCTGGGCAACAGAGCAAGATCCTGTCTCTTAAAAAAAACACAAAGAACATGAATTGAGTGACCTCAATTAAATAAATCTAGTGATGAAAAAATAGAGGAAACCATTAATGGATGAGAGTAAAAATGAGATGATACTTTGAAGACAGTTAGAAAATATCCATTCGCTCACTCAAATATCCATAGAGCACCTATGATCTAGGACCTCTGCAGTCCCCGGCCCCCGCGGGGTGTGGACTGATACCGATCCACAGAGGTCTGCCCCGTCCCCACCACACTTCTGCGGAAAAACTGTCTTCCATGACACTTAGGGTGTGGGCGGGTGCATGGCAGGGGAGGTGAGCAGTGGGCAAGTGAGTGAAGCTTCATCTGTATTTACAGCCGCTCCCCATTGCTCGCATCACCACCTGAGCTCTGCCTCCCCCTCTCCCCCTGCCCCGTCCGTGGAAAAATTGTCTTCCATGAAACTGGTCCCTGGTGCCAAAAAGACTGGGGACTGCTGATCTAGGTGCCAGAAATACAGCAGTGTGGAGAACAGACAGAGTCCTAACTCTCATGGAACACACATAACAAACAAGACCGAGGAGTTCAAAATCTCAGCCCGTCACAGTGATGCCAGATAGAGAAAAAGCTGAAGGAAAAATACTTTCACATATGCTTTTCTGTTCACCTTGCAGGACTCCTCTGGAAGTGTCGACAATGCCTGAGCATCGTTTGATCTTGTTGATGTATATTTTGTTCACTGCTGCCAGTAATATGAGGGAGTTTGATTCCAATTTGTTTATAAAATTTGATATCTATGATTCCTGAATATATAATGATGGAACATTTGATATTCTTGATTTGCCAGCTAATTGGGAAATTGTATAGATACGACTTCTTAGGGTTTAGAAGACCTGCTTAATATTTTCCTTTTGCATTTCAAGTCATTTTAAGTAAGTAAAAGGGATTTATCAACTAGACAGAAAGATAACCCAGTGATAAGAGAGGAGATTATCACCTTTCTCCATTTGTTTTTCTAGGTCACTGGAATTTTTCTCATACATTGCTCAAGGCTTTCCTTAGGACTAAAAGCAGAATGCAGTTCTGTGGCTGTGGGTGACTGGGGGGCCACCGTGAGTGGAAGGTAGGCAGCTAGCCTGGGGCTGGGCTGCGGAGGCGACTTGGCCTGGAGGCCGAGCACCCAGAGTCTCAAAGTGTCTCTTTGGCAAAGTAAAATCACAGGGAGTGACTTGTGGCAAACCCCCCCAGTCTGTGTCTGTGTGCTTATAATAAAATGGAAAAGAACGTGTCAGATAAACAGAATATATATATTTTGGAGAAGAATGTCAGCTTAAATAGTGCCTTAACCTCATTCACAAGTAGATCCTGGCAAGAAGAATGGCTGAAGCCTGGGCTGAAAATCCCTGAATCCCGTATTATAACACACACGTCACAGAGGTGAGTGGGGAGCACCACACTCGTCCTTGGATGTCACACTCTAAGTACACCAGGGACTTCGGGAACACTTAGACTGACGGCTCCAGTGAGCTGGAAACACACAAGCACATCAGCCCGTGGATGTGGAGTTCCTCCAGGATTTTGGGTTCATCCTAACGGAAGCAGAGCACATAGTCTCAATCTTGGAGACAGCTCCTCCCAACCTCGCACCTTAATACTCTCTCATTAATGGCCAGCAAACATATACAAAAACGCTCAACATCTCTAACCATTAGAGAAATGCAAATCAAAACCACAGTGAGATATCACCTAACCCCAGTGAGATTGGCCTCTATCAAAAAATCCCAAAACATCAAATGCTGGCGAGGA